CTCTTGGTTCTAATAACTAATTACTACTTGCTAATTGTAAGATTGTGAAATTCATACTCGATTTCATATATAAATTGATTGTATTGTATTGATTGATTGTATTGTATTCAATTGATCGTATGTTCGAACTATCGAAAAAAAAGGATTTAAAAAAGTGTTATCGTAAATTACTACATGCTAAAAATAACAAGTTCAAAATGGCATGAATTCAAATCCCACCGCTGTTACCATGGTCTTAATTTCTGTTAGAGCCTATTTATTATTATTTATTTCAAATTTTATCAGTTTTATTTTAAGAAATTATTAGTCGAGAGTTTATAATTATTGTATTTTTTCTTGGCTACATTATTTTCAAGTGATTTTGCTCTTGGCCTACTTCATTTATTTTCTTTATTCAGATTTCTTTTTACTTCTTGGCTTTTCGTACTACTTTTAACTTTCCAAATTTATCTTTCTTACAACTCCCTCAGCTCACTCGACGCTTCTACCAATATTGAAATGACAAATTTCTGTCTTTTTTTTGCCAATTCTTTTTTTTATAATTAGTATGAATTTTGAGAATAGTATTTTTATTAAAATTCGTTGTAATTTTTTAAATGTTAGAGATTCTTGTTTTGGGATATTCAGGGAGGTGGACAATTTCCACCCTTTCAACATGTGGAAGACAAATGGTATAATTTTTCTTTAACCTGCCGCAGTGACTTGTTGGAATTTCCCTCTTGTCTCGTCCGTAACGCTTGTCTCCGTCGCGTTTAAATAACGAGCTTTCCCCGACGAGCACTTTTGCAACTGTATATATGTATATACATAAGAAATTGAAAAAATTGTCGCAAAGGGAGCAATCGCTTTGTCTTTCGTTAATATTTTTCATTCTTTCCAGGATTTTATTTTATTTATCTTATGGAAAATTGATTTTCTTTTTAGAATCTCATTTTAAAATGAGTAAATATATTTTGTAAATGAAGTAATTTTACTGAAAATGTAATACATTTCATTGAGGAGATATTATCCGTGAGAAAACAGTTTCCGTCCAATCAGGAGAGATATTCCTGACGCCTCTCTTTTTCTCTCTCTAAAGTAGAGTATTTCTAGTATAGGTTGTCAGCTTCAAAGGCAATTACAGTCATAAACGATCCGCGAACAGTGTTAGCGCAGCTATAATTGCACAGTAAAAACACTTAAACCCTTAGTTCATATTCCGAGTGCATAATTAGTGCTTATAATAACATTGTGCGCTTTTCATTATCGTTTCTTTTCAAGAGTCACGCCCTCTTGGCTTCATAAGATGTCTATTTAAAAATACCCAAGTCTTGAGTCTGAATTAGGTTATGCTTCGTTCCTCGGACAACTTTCCGACATTAATTGGTATTCTTCTCACCTCTAAGACGATGTGTCTTTTTCACTTTCGATACAACGAACTGTGCTACTTAAAAAGACGTAGTTACTATACCAATTAGTAAGATTAATTTTATATTTTACTGTTTTGGAATTAGAATTAGTTTTCGCAAACACTTCTCCACTATCGACCCTCAACGTTTTTACCTGCAGGGATGCATTTCTTACCAAAATCTTTTCTCTAAATTCATCACTTTCCTGCTCTGATCTGACAAAGTTTATGGATTCATTTTTATTCTTTCTGTGAGATTTTCCATGCATTATCGTAGTATTTTCTGAGATCAGGAGGACATCAATCCAACAAATGTGATAAGTACACCAAATAATTAAATTCACAAGTATATGTTAATATCCACTTTGGATGAGTGTATTTTCTATAGCAGTCAAATACGAAACTCGAAGAATGTTTTCGTTATTCACACGCTTAATTGTCAGTAGTTGCTCATGTCATTTCAGTGTTTACAATCTTTTTAACAGGCTCATAAAATTTGTCCGACACCATTAACGGTGAGTATAAGGATGCGATCTTACCAAATGCCCTGACACTTTAAGTTAACTAATAGCTCTTTCTCTCTCGCAATTCTAAAAGCCTTTTGTTGTTGGACGGTTGCTTTACTTATTTCTTCGCGTGCCACTTATTAGCACCGGAAACCAATTGATGAACTTTTCTTTGACATGACATTTAATGATCACTGATGTGTAATCTGTTAAATGACTCGCTGGCAGATGTTTAATAAAGAACTTTTTCTTTTCAGATTTTAATTTTCCCATTCGCACATTTTAAAGTTAAATAACACAGCCACACAAAAAAAAGTACCCGGACCGGGGAATGAGACCACCATTTCTTGATGTATTTTGATGCGCTGAACACGAATCTGAAGTCCGTTTAGCTCCATCACGTCAGGATTTTGACATAACCTCAAAAAACATAGCTGATTTTAAATGACAGGAAAATTTTTTAAATAATGGCAGATTTGCTTGAATCTTGTTACTCGGGGGTTTTTGGGGTCGCTGATTACGAATTTAACGTCAGATTTATAAAATTCAAAATGGCGGATCCAATATGGCGGGCGAATTTTTAAAAAGTAGTTGGATTTTAACAAAAATTGGTATCATGGGGTTTTTTTTGGAGTCGCTGATTACGAATTTAATGTCAGATTATTCAAATGTAAAATGGCAGATATAGTACGGTGGTCAAATATCTTTATATTTCTACATGTGTCTGCATCCAGGGCACCTCCACGCGGTGACGGTGGGCAACGGAGTTTGTCCGCTATCCGTCTAAGTCCCTGGATAATGGCTTTGATGCCGTCATGGCAGACACACGTAGGAAACGTATTACGATGCAGGGACTCGGAACCCCAGTATCGGCCAAGTTACATAAAAATTCAACTATTTTTAAAAAACTCGTCCGCCATATTGGATCCGCCATTTTGAATTTGAATAATCTGGCGATAAATTTGTAATCAGCGACTCCCATAACCCCTAGATACCAATTTTCGTAAAAATCCAACTACTTTTTAAAAGTTCGTCGCCATATTGGATCCGCCATTTTGAATTTTATAAATCTGACGTTAAGTTCGTAATCAGCGACCCCAAAAATCCCCGAGTAACAAGATTCAAGCAAATCTGCCATTATTTAAAAAATTTTTCCTGTCATTGAAAATCAGCTATGTTTTTTGAGGTTATGTCAAAATCCTGACGTGATGGAGCTAAACGGACTTCAGATTCGTGTTCAGCGCATCAAAATACATCAAGAAATTTTGGTCTCATTCCCCGGCCCGGGTACTTTTTTTTTGTTAATTTAACACAACGAAAAACAGAATGTAAAAACAAAAGTACATTATTTTTAATTTTATCTACTTATTTTAAATAAATCTTTGATTACAAAAAGCATTGTATCACTATCTTGTGAACATCATTTTATGGAGATGTATTTCCTGTCTCTACGGGAATTGAATTATTTTTGAATAACAATTACTGGTTCGACGAATTTGAATAAGAGATTTACGATGAGAATCTGGCAACGTTTACACGCACCCGCGTGTCGCGTTACGCGTCAAAGGAACTGGGTTTTGTTTTTGACGTACTGTATATATATATATATATATATATATATATATAGAGGATTTATTTAACATCTAGCACATTCGAACGATGAGAATGAACCAATGGACGAAGCGGCGATGCGCACGAGCGAACGACCAGCAATGGTACATATATTTCGGGTTGATGCCACTGGTGTGTGCTGGACGCAATTTGAGAGCAATCGACTGAACGACATGCCGCAAATCAAACCCGTCCATAGTGTTCGTGAACCTAGGCTACTCCTACATTCGTTCCTGTGTATGATGAGAGTTTATCCCGCTCTCTCTTACTCCTTCATATTTTCCATCACACTCGCTCTTCAGTAGGTTAGCATATCCTCTCTCGAAGCTTCTCATCCTCACGGTTCAGCGATTCGAGTCGTTGCGCGACAGCTGTTATACCATCAACTCGCTAGCGTATTACACCGCACTGTTAATTGAATCGATTCCTATTGCTCAGCAGTCAGTTAACGTTATTCTTTAAAATAATTACATCTTCTTATTAAGATTAGTATATTTCGATACAAGGGGCCAAACGAGCGTTTTGCTCATTACAAGTGTAACGAGCATACGCTCGTTTGGCCCCTTGTATCGAACCATATTTTTCTTTATAAGTGCAGGTATAACCTCGTTTGACAGCTACTTGCAGCTATTCAAAATGGTCGACTCCCTCATTGTGCGCGCGGACGATGAGCAAAATGTTTTGGCCACCGCTTAACGGTAAGCAAAATACTTTGCTCATCGACCGCGCGTACAGTGAGGGATTCGACTATTTTGGATAGCTGAAAGTGGTTGCCAAACGAGGTTTTTGCATGCACGTATAAAGAAAAGTATATTTTCTTAATAATTCTCTTTCTGTTTTGTTAAAGAATTTTCGTTATCAAACATTCAGATTATGTTTGTGTTTTAACGGATTGAAAAACTGATTACAGGTGTACGTCAGTACAGAAATTTATTGGTCATCTTGCTGTTGCTATTTATTGAATTTCGATTGCTATCAGATTGTCAGCGGTCGTAAAATGGTAGAATTGCTCAACTGACTAAATATACACTTTTCGAAATATACGCTAGAATTGATTAATTTAATTTTGAATTCTGGAACGGAGAAAATTTATAGAGTATTAAATTATTCGCTTGTCTTTTCTCCTACAAATTCTGGACCAAAAAAGCATGAATGATTTAAACATTATTTATTAATTTTAAAGTAAAATTTTCGTTAAAGTTTGGTTAATATTTAAGGGTTTAATATTAATAATACCTTGAAAATTTCACCTATAATCAAGTTTTTCTGATTCATTTTTTTAATGTAAAAATAAATGTCTGGATAATTGAAGCCTACCGTCATTGTAACACCCTTGAAATATTAAAAGGGACAAACCTGGTAGTTTGCGGTAGCGTAAAATTCGTAACCGGTTGTCGAAACTTTTATGTTAAACTACTGGGCACTGGGTTTGTAGGCTATATAAAAGAAACTTGGTCTTTCTTCAAAAGTTAATTTTTCGTTTTCTGTTTTTGCAGATGCTGTGAACTGGTTTGAAACTCAAGAGGAAAATGAAGAATTTGGTGGAGTATTTTATTTTCGGTTTTCTTTTACTGATCCTTGGCTCGGATTATGGAGCCGCATTTGAGTGGCAGCACAGCGCTGTCCTTGATAACAATTTTCTTGTCTTGTGGACGCCTGGCGAAAGGGATGTGACCTTCGAGGTCCAGGTGAAAACACTCGGTTACGTGGGTTTAGGATTCACGAGAGATGACCGACGTGCTGGCACTGATATGGTCATCGGTTGGGTTGATAACAACGGTCAGGTTCATCTTCAGGTAAGTCAACATTTATATTATTCTAACAATTATAATAATTGGTGATTTTAATCCTTCATTTAATTATAATTAATTGAGGGGCTGATAGTAAAAATGGTTTAAAATAACATTGGGAGCAAAAGTGGGATAAGTGACTTTGGAGCAAAAACGGGTTAAAATGATTCGTTTAATTTATTGATAAATTCATTATATTATCGATTAAAAAATATTAACAATAGGAAAAAATGCTTATTTTATTATAATTAATATTTTTTAATCGATAATATAATGAATTTATCAATAAATTACACGAATCATTTTAACCCGTTTTTGCTCCCAAGTCACATATCCCACTTTTGCTCCCAATGTTATTTTAAACCATTTTTACTATCAGCCCCTCAATTGTAATAATATAAAGAGAATTAATAATGGTTTTAATACTTTCTTATAAAGCATTTTCGAAGCAAAATTTCAGTCGGTTGTAATTTTTTTCCCAAACATGAAAAATTCATGTCAAAAAGAATTTTGACGAAAGTGCAATTTTTTCCTCTGAAACTTAAAGGATCCCTTTGATCTTGATAGGAAAACCGACAACTATTGCTGAATGACCAAAAGTGGAATCTTTCTAGAGAGGCTATGCGGACCAACGTATTTGAAGTTAGTCGAGAGAGCTATAGATCGCGTTCGTCTCACGTGTCCGCAATTTTTCCAGTAGAATCGCTGCTCGCTTGTTCCATAATGCATGCGATGGTTGGAGCACTATGTTCATGGTACAAAGTCTACGGCTTATAGAAGGCAACAGCCGTCGTCAGACGTTCTCATACCAAGAGAAAGGGAGACCGATGGCCGAAGGAGACAAAGAGCTTTTTCATTATGATCATAATCTTAGGAATAGAATTGGACTATTGCAATTCTTTTCGATCGATTCCCTCTCTCTTTTTTTTCTCTCAATTGTAGCTGATTTTTTTCAACTTTATGAGAATGCCGCTAACCCTAAACGATTATCTTCCGGTCTTCGCGTCAAAACTTTCTCACTATTAGTCATTTATAGTGATCTAGAAAAAACTCTCCAACTAAGATCGTTTTCTGAAAATTGCTTGTTTAACTGTCTGGAACATTCTTTCAGAAAGAATTTTTTATGACACTTTTTTTTAAATTGGAAATTTAAATGACAAACAAAAGTCGGGGTCATAGAAGAATTTTTGAATTAGATTGTTAACGTTTTTCTTGCATCAAAAAGCTGAAAGTTTTTTTTTTATAGGTTAAATATACAATCACGTGTGGATAATTCGACGTTTTTCTCGCTTGTAAATAAAATGAGACAAATGAAACCACACGAACGAGACACTAAGCAGCAAAGTGATAGAGAGAAGAGTGTGATGCACTTTGTGTGGAATAAAATTCCCATTTCACATTTTGTTTAGTGGCTTTCAGCACCCGCGGTTCAACACAATAGAGAAAAAGTGTGTGTCTATCAACAGACATCGTTTGGATGTATCCATCAGCCTTTTACCTCTCAGCTTTTCTATTTTTTTCACTCAGTTTATTCACTCGAGTCCGAAAATAAATTCGATCGAAAAATAATTTTATTTTTGTAATGATCAACGGTGCCATAGCCCCGACTCTTATTATTTGCCGCATATGCAATTTGTACTGCTTATTACTCCTTGGCGTTGTATACAAAAACCGGTTGCTGGATGTTTGGCGAATAAATTATATGTTTAGCGCATATTGCGAAGTGAAACATGACGCGGAAAGCTATCAGTGTGTCCATTTTTTCGTCCTAGTAAGCTAAAAATACATCAAATAAAAGGAATTGTTCCAATCGAGTTTTTCGGTACAATGTCGTTCTTGTAATCGTCAACAGAAGAGAGAGGACTAAAAATGTCAATGGCGCGAACACAAACGGAATAAAACTGACTGTGTAAACAAGTTTCGATAGGTTCACCACTATGGGATGCAATTTTATCCAACAAAAATGAAATTCAACGTAAATGCCGTTACCAACACATATATGACTAACCATGAATAATATATTTTCAAATCTGTGGTGAAATAAATGCACGTCTCGTGAGATTTGGTTTACTGTTTGAAAATACTGTTCTAACCGAGCGAGCACAGTAAACGATTCACATGGTTCTTGTGATTATGAAAATGAGGCTCAAGCGACTACCAGCATTGTATTCAGGCAGATGGTCTCTCACTCGTAAATGGTACTTATGGCTGATTTCTAGAATCTCCATAAACCTCCATTACTCCTAGGTCAATTGCAGTTCCTTTCTCTTTCGTTCATAGCTTTCTTGAACTATCTTTCTATCGTTAAATTGTAAACAATTTTAACTATAGCTGTTCTAAGAGAATACGAAAAAAATTCGTTTTTTTTTAAAGAGAAAATATGATTCTGTCTTATACGCGTGTAATTCGCAAGAAGGTGGACATGTTCGACGTGATCCCATTACAAAATCACACCTCGAAAGGCAAAGCAGGACGTGACCAAATAAGGCAGACTCCGCAAGCGTGCTTGCTGATTCTCTCTCGCACTTTTGCATTGGACAGTCGCGTGATCTTGCCGGCGCCGGAGGGTGCTCTTGACATCGGGACAAACGAGAGCGAAGGGTGACAAAGCGACATGAAAGAGAAGGAAAGAGAGATCTAGAAAAATAAGAAGACATATAACAAGGAGGGAAAAAGAAGGGTCCGCGAGGTGAAGGGATGTTGGTGTTGTAAATGGCAAACGTCCACCCACGGAGGTTGGAGCCACTTCTCGTTAGGCTTGGTTGTATGTTAATGCGAATCGTACTCTCATACTTGGTGTAGCATAAATGCGTGCTCCATGTTAGTACACGAACGCGCCGGTACTGTAAAGGCACGCTTATTGTTGTACTGACATTCGTTGAAATTCACCGATGAACGCAAATGACCACCTCGTCTGGCTCTTTTTTTTTCTTTCTTTTTATCCAACTCATGCAAAAGAAAATTTTTATTTTATCAGATAAATTTTCTTTACAACATTCTAAAATTTATTAATTTGCGATTCACAAATATTCGAACCATTCGTTATATAACAACTGTTCCTGATGAATTTGTCAAATGGAGATAAAATATTTAGATTCCGGAATAAATAATGAGCTTCTAAATCAAGATCCTGAGAGCTCGTTAATCTTAAATGAAATCTTTAAAAATGCTCATAAAAATTCATTCTCTAAAATGTAATCAAGGGTTTTAGTTTCTTTTATTTTTTCCTTGCAGCTGGATTGTAATGCTGAATGACACATCGCCAGCTTTCTCTATTAACTTTGTTGTATATTAAAATGCAGACCGCAACACCTGATCGGGTCAGTAAACAATAAAGGAGGGAAGCAGTCGAGTTAGGCTGGTGGGTAGATTGATAGTTAGATAGAGACTTGTGTATATACAGATTCAGGCACTCGAGTGATGGATCACACCTCTTACAATGAATATAGATCAGTCTTTTAAAGCAATGCGTTTATTTTTTTCGACCAATGGAAATGGCTGGCAGCTACCATCACGGTAGGGACCCTGATGGGTACCGGTGATACTGTCAAAAGTCTCATATGTAGGACGTGAACGTAAACTCTACTAGGGACCTATAGAATTTATTCACAAAGAAACTGTCCTTATGGACAAATAACCCTTCTGATCTTAGGATTGATCAGGGTATCTGGTATCAGAATATATACGCTATTATTTCTGTTAGTAATATATGATCCAAATCGGTTAAAAAAGGTTCTAAAAATTATAGGTCTCCGAAATCAGGGAATTTTAAAAAAGTCATTTTAATTTTCCAATTTTATGAATTTCGAAATGATAATTGGCAATAATAGAAAGACTGATAATGAGTTAAATATGCGATTTGAATGTAGGCAGAATTAGTTCAATTTATCGGAAGAGATTAAATTTGTGTGTAGTCTATGTCTTTGTTGATTTCAATATCAACTGTTGTGATCATATATATATATATATATATATATATATATACGTACGATGTTATTATGCATTATATGATGTTACGGTTATATATGCATTCGAATGTATGATTAGCTTGATGCACTAAATGTGAAATGCGAGCCATCAATGAACAACATTAATTCCAGAATATTGGTGTTACTCGATAATCTGAGTTATCGACTAATTACTAGATTATCTTTCAATAAAAACTTAAATTTAAATATTCGGAAAACCTAAAAATAGAAACTCAGTAATTTATAATTTTCCTCGGAGTCTGATGTTCATTTCATTTTGCCGGTAAATCAGAGTATATATATGATGGGCACACAAAGAACCTAATCTGCCAGCTTTTAACAACCCGGATTAGAATGCAATCCTGGGAGAGAATTCGCTTACACTCTCGAAACTCTAGTGTATACGAGAATTAGTCGTACCTGCTGTCTCGAAACAGATAGAGACTTTTCTTCTTCCAAGAAGATAAAGGATTGCACAACTATAGTTTTGAACAATTTTTTAATTATAAAATACTTTCAATTTGTTTCAAAAGAAATAACTAAAAATATCGATGAAAACAAATGTTAGCTATTATTAGTTAAAATTAGTTATTTTCCACAGCAGGATAAATTCGATTACCATTGAATGAATTTTAAACTTAGTCACAATTCTGATGAAGAGACTTGACTCGAGTGCAATATATTAGTAAATGAAGCTTCTCTTTCTAGACGAGGTTCTGTATTTTGCAGTTACGACTCTACTCTCATTGTATTGGAATTCTCGAGTGGTTTCTTACTTGAGTGAAAACAAAAACCGTCTTGCATGGATGCTCGTCTCGAGGAGAACAGTGATGGAGGAAGAGGAGAGTTAAAAAAAACTGTAAGAGAGTCGACCTATGCTCGATATCGACCGATCGATCGTCCTGTCTCGTTTCGGCGCAATTATACCTGCAGTGCATGCATGCAGGAAGACATGTATAAGCATCTCTTGGAGGTATATTTGGACGTTTGTCAGGTCCACTTTCGAGAGCGTCCCTACTGTCCTCCTTAGACCACCGT